AAAAAAAAAAAAAAAAAAAAAAAAAAAAAAAAAAAAAAAAAAAAAAAAAAAAAAAAAAAAAAAAAAAAAAAAAGTGATGCATCTAATGAATATGTAGGGTTAATTAAATGCTATATATGAATTAGTTGTGACAAAGCATTAGTGTTGGGAAAGTTGGAGGGTTGTGGGTCATGACTCGTGCTTATATTTAGAATTCTTTAATTGCTCCAAAAACAGCTACCATTAGTTCTACTAGAGTAGAACGAGGTAGAGATAAATGTCCACCACATGCTTCCTTTTAATAATGATTAATGCTTACTTAAAAATTTATATGTCCTGATGTAAAATTGTTAACCACATTTCCATAATTAAGCCGCCTTTTAAATTAACAAAATAAATAAAATCAATTGCATGGTACCGACTATGTCTGTCTTTAAGCTTTATCTCCTATTTCACTTGTGGGATTGGCCATATTCTGTCTGCCATATTCTCGTGGAAAAAAAATCACATTGAAAAGCCTGCTTTCATCATTCAAATAAAGGTGAGGAGGGATAGAGGGGCCCCTCTTTTAACAGCTACCAAATATTGACACACCAACCCAAAAACTAAAATTTATTACTATTTTGAAATTTATTCTACCTATCTTCAAGTTTAGTACCACTTTATTCTTTTTTAATCTTAAAAATTATTGAAAAAGTCTCTAACATCTCCTCCCTAAACTTTAGAAAGGTATTTATATTGGGCTAAACTTAATATTTATTGGATCTAAAAAGATTAAATTTAATAAAACATTTAAATAATACATGAACTAAAAGGAAGTGAGTCCCAAGTTAGTCAACAAAGACAAAAGGAAGCTCTAATTCCATGGCGGCCATACAGCAAAAAGAGAGAAAAAGAAAAAGAAAAAGAAAAAGAAAAAGTGGGAAAGCAAACTTTCGTGTAAACACATCTACAAACATTCTCATCAATAATAAGACCCATACTCACATGCTAATTGTAGTGATGAAGAATAGCTATGTTTAACCATTTCAGACAGAAAATGCAATCACATGGACATTAAAAATTCTTCAGAATGGGTCAAAAATGTCTGTTCATGTCAGCTTTCTCTAACAGCTAATGTTTCTAGTCAAAGCTGTAGAAAGAAATTTTAGAAATCATGCGAGTAGTGATAATGCATTGTGTTCTAAAATTCAGACTTTTATATTGATGATTTCACTACTAGGCATTTTATGTAAAGAGTCATGGTAAATAAAATTTAAGAAGCATACCATTTGAGAGCCACAAGGAAGTTAAAATGAAGATGGAAATGTTGGATCTTATCAGAAGGATGGAGATCTGTGAGGGGTGTCTTTCCTTCTGCGTTTTCTTGGCTGTGAAGATGAAGGGCTAGCTTTGGTCTCTTCCCTGGACTCTGCAATTGATATGGTCGATTCCAATTCGCTTGCATTTGTTTCAGCGCTATTTTTTTCCTTGAACGATAAGTTACCAAAATCCGGGCTCAGAGATACGATGGTTCTTATGCTCTGGTCCTTAAGCTTTGAGTTCACAGAAACCTGATGTTTTTGCAGCAGTTCAATTGTTAGCAATATGTGCATGATGTAATTAAATTGCTTAAGATATGGTCGCTTAGTCTAAGCAATCTACCGAGTAGCAGAGTTGTGATAAGGCTCATGTTTTTATATACCTTGCAAGCAATTGAACAGAAGCGATTAGGATATTGTACATATCTACCACAGTCTTCACAAGAACCACCGGACTTCGCTTTTGGTGGTTTGGCATCGACGGATTGACCACGGGAGTTTAGATGAACAGATATTTCACCATTGACTTTATATGTCTGCAGAATCAAGCAAGAGGTTTCAAGTTAGAAGACATAGAGATGAAATGCCATAGGAGAAAGGGAATGTTATTAATAGTTCAGTTTGATCATTTTCAACAAGTAGAAAAGAAAGCAAACAAATTGATAACAAACGAACTTTATTCCTAAAACTAAAATGGAATCAGACGGGACTCAGATTAACAAAAACAATATGATTTGTTCATTCAAAATGGTAAAGATCAAAATCAAACTTCTGAGATTTCCTCTACAAACAGTCACCTCGGATTCGATCCTTACAAGAAGTGGTTGAAAACCAGATAGATTCGGCTAAAGAATTAAAAGTTGTGTTAGAATAAAATAAGAACTTATCTCAAATCTCAATGATTTCAACTACATAAAAGCAAAAAGATCAGCAACACAAAGATTGAATTCAGAAATCTTTTCTATGGAAGACTATTAAATCGATATCTTACTGGAGTTGTAATAAGGGAAAAAATGTTTTATACATGAATCTCTGAACAGCGAAAGTATTTCTCCGTGTCCTGAACGCGAACAACTTCATGATAGACATATTTCCAGATATGAACCTGCCGATGAAGATCATGTACTGTACAATTCTTGCAGAAGCTAACACTACAATCAATGCAGAATTTATTTTTCTCATTTTTCCTGAGATTAGGATGAAGATCGCAAGAAACGAAGAATTTCGTATTCAAAAGCGTACCAAGCCAGTCCGTTTCCATTCTCTTCACTAAAGAGTTCGCATAATTATAACCTACAAAACCAAAGAAATCCATTACTCCGTAAGATTCCATCCTCTTTCACAAAATTTCATCCAATTCTTGAGAAAAACTGCAGACAAATTCAGAGTTGAACTAATTAATTTAACGGCCATTCAAGTAACCGAGCTCGAATTGAAGTTCATATACACAATATAAAAATCAATCGCATAAGTAGAGAGATTCAAAAATCAAAAGTATCAATCGAGGAAGCCAACAGACACTATAAAGTACACATCATAAAATCTCCCCCCCAAAAAAAAAAAAAAACAGTAAGCAAGTGGATTCAAGACTCATTCACGTGGAAGAATCAAACAAAAACGAAAGAAAAAGAGTTCGAAAACTACACATTCACCGAAAAGGACTAAAATACTCACAGATTCTTCCGATTGCAGGACGAAGACTGAAACCAGTACAAGGACACAGAGGAAGCGGCGGACAAATTGGATTAAGCTCTGCAAATGGAGGAAGGAAGAAGAGGAAGAACGAAGATTAAAGTGAAAATGGAAACAGAAATCTTTAGGATCTTTTTTATTATTATTATTTGGTTTGATAAACAAAAATCTTTTATGAGTGTTTGCGTGTGTACATATTTGCACTTAATAGCCAACACGGAGATGTGGGCTACGATCGGCATGAAGGTGAAGGCATGCTGGCCGTTGGATCGTCGCCATCGGACGGCTAAGGGTAAGGCTCTTTAAGCTTTTTTTTTTTTTTTTTTTTTTACAATTTAGAGTTTAAACAATTCCAATAGAGCCTCTCACATATAACTATTTTGGAATATTTTTTTTTTTGCACCCTTCTTTTAACAATTTAAGCATATTTCAATTAATTTAGTCGTATAATATTAATTAAAAAAATTATATATTCGAATAAGTGACTAATTAAAAAACTTAAAAGATATATTTGATATTTATTTTTAAAAAAATAAAAATTAAATTAAAAAAAAAAAACTTGAAATTTTTGCTTACTAGAAATTTAGAGGAAAAGTTATGATTTTTTTTTCTTGGTTATATTCTTGCTCTAAATTTCTATAAGCTCAATAAGAATTATGGCATAAATATTAATTTTAATATTTACCAATTGATAGGGGCAAAAATGGGAATTTTGTAATTTGAAGGACTAAATGGTAACTTACTAAAATACTAGGATTAAGTTGAAAACAACCCAAAAATTTTATTATTTGGAAGAAATGTGAATGGTTCTTTCCGGTCGTGTGGGGCCGAGAAGTAAAGGTGGTGTACAGTGACACGTGGCGACTCATGGGGCGCAGCGAGTCATTGACCGCCGAAAAAGGCGCGAGATTTTAGGACGTGGAATTTCCTTTGACATGCGGCCGGATTTTTTGCGGTTGGATCTTAATTAGCTATTATTAATTATTAGTTTATATTTGTCGGTCTATATACCTAAGAATAGTTGAAGTAAAATAAAATAAAACACGTGTTAAATAGACATTTAAAAGTAAGTATATATAACAATTGGAGATGATGTGAGGTTTTAAAAATAATAATAAATTATCAGAAAAATAGGAAATGAAGAAAATATAACTTTTAAAAAAGTATAATACTTGCGACTTTTAGAAAGAGCATCAACATCTTTGAGCATTATTAAAAAAAAAAAAATTATCACTAATATGGATAAGAAAGTCTATTTACATTTCTGTCGTATATTAATAGTAAAAGTATTTTATAACATTTTAAAAAATATATATTTTAGATTTTTTTTTAAATTATGGATAATAATGAAATTTTATAAAATTTAAAATATTTTAAAGATGTTTATAGAATAAAGTATTAACTATTTCTTCTAAAATTAGCGAGTATTTTTTTATTTTTTATTTTAAATTTAATAATATTTTATTTAAAAATATTACCGAATGAAAAGTTTATATTCGTTTTATTAATTTAGCCAATTTATTATGTATTTATACCCTTGACTTACCTGCTTTAATTTATACCCTTTGCTCAAATTAGCTATTTTACCTATTAATTTTTAACAAAAAAGCAATATATTTTTTACGTGAAAAATGTAATATAAAATATTTGCTAATATCTATCAATAAATAAATTAACGATAAAATAATACGAGAATGTTTATTATACTAATTTTCAAACAAAAAAAAATTAAATTATTAATTTTATTATTATTCTTAATTTCCCATTTTTTGTTTCTTACTTAAATTTCTACCCACATTGTTCGATTCATTTGTAAATTATGTGGCTTTATTGAAGACATTGATTTTTTTTTTTTTTTTAATATTGCACGCCAATCAAACTTTGAGCACGTTTAACATATCTCTAACTTAAATAAAAAATACATTTAATAGAATTTTAAATATGAAGGTGACTAGCTCGAGAATGTGGTGAGAATCTCACCTCACATCAAATTTGAAATAACTAAGCAAAAAAGGATTCGTATAATTAGGTAATTAGTGACTAAAAATGTCCACTTAACATACGAGATGGATGGAGACCCATGGAGATCTATTATGAATAGTGCTGAATTTCCTATTTAAATGGGACTAAATAAGATTATATTAACTATATAAATATAAATATATTTTCAAATATAAATTTTGTAAATTATACTTAATGTCTGGGTTTCATTTTGTTTGAGTGGTAACAACAAATATTACATTAATTTAGAAAATAATGGAGGTAACCAAATAGGAATATTGCATAAAAAAGAGGAGGAAAAAGAAAAAAACCTAAAACCCTGTTTTTCCAACACGAGCAAATTCATCTTTACGGTCTATGGGAATATTAAGAACAATACATGAAGTATCTAAGCTTCCAAATTCAGTGCCCCGCCCCTTGCTTTTCAGGGGAGTCTGAATAGATAATCTACTAGGGCCAGAGAGATTTAACTGTGTAGAAGAAGCAGTAGCGGCGGCGGCGGCGGAGGATTTGCAGTGAAACAAGAGTAACATGGAGAAGGCAGAGTCGGAGAGAAAGGTAGAGGAATCTGTTGAAGAAGATGATCAGGTTGTAAATCCATGGCAAGTTTCGGCTAAAGATGGAGGCAAAATCGATTACGATAAGCTAATTGACAAATTCGGCTGCCAGAGGCTCGACCAGTCTCTCGTTGACCGAGTCCAGCGCCTTACTTCTCGTCCTCCCCATGTCTTCCTTCGCCGCGGCGTCTTCTTTGCCCATCGGTTTCTCTCTCTCTCTCGACTTTTTTTTTTTTTCTTTTCAGTTTGACAAATTGTGCTTAACTTTATTTTATTCTCTCAGGGACTTCGAAGAAATTTTGAATGCGTACGAGAGGGGGGAGAAATTCTACTTGTATACTGGAAGAGGACCTTCGTCTGAAGCATTGCATTTGGGGCATCTCGTTCCTTTTATGTTTACCAAGTGTGTTTCAGTTTCTAATGCTTTGGCCTTTATAAGTATATACCTATTTATTTAAACTACTTGAATTGCCAATGCTGTCTATTTCCTGGGGCAATTGACTGGTAAACTTTAAGAGGGTGGATGTTGATACTATGGATTTCGTGTCTTTTTGAACATTGGCATGAAAATCTATTTGAGTTTTGTGTGACATTTCATGTTTCTTAATTGATTGTGCTTTAACTTGAGTTTTAGGATTACGAGGTCCTTTTTTTTTTTTTTTTTTTATCCATGTTCTAATTATAGATGTTGGATGCTTTTGTAGATATTTGCAAGATGCATTTAAGGTGCCCCTTGTGATACAACTCACTGACGACGAGAAGTGCATGTGGAAAAATCTCTCTGTGGAAGAGAGCCAGAGACTTGCTCGTGAGAATGCAAAAGACATCATTGCTTGTGGTTTTGATATTTCCAAAACCTTTATCTTCTCTGATTTTGATTACGTTGGTGGGTGAGTATGATATGAGCGAACTTATCTTTTATAAGAGAAGAAACATCTAACAGTCATTGAGTTTGACTGGTGGAATGTCTTATACATATTTCTAGGAGTGATTTATATGCTCGCTACAATGAGTTGTTTATGATTTTACAAGTGTAAATTTGTTGTTAGATTCAAAAGATTGAAGTTTTTAGACTTCCTAACTTGGTTTATTCTGCGAGTTATTTCACAGTGCTTTTTATAAGAACATGGTGAAAGTTGCCAAATGTGTTACATACAATAAGGTACTCACTTATAATCTAATCGGCTTTGGTATTTTTCATTTTTAAGATTTCTTTATTAATATTATTAGTACTATTTTGCTTATTTTGATACATTCGTTTGCTAGGTTGTTGGTATTTTCGGGTTTACTGGTGAAGATCATATTGGAAAAGTTAGTTTTCCACCAGTGCAGGTATGTGCCGCAACTTTTAATGGGAACAATGAGTAATTCTTATTGAATTCTATTTTTTTGTCACTACATTAATTTTATATCAGATTGGTCTCATATCCAATCCAATTTATGATCCTTTTTATTTGAGATGAATTACTTTGATCATGCACTATCTTTGTATCTCTCACGCTATAGGTGCATTGTATATACTTAAGATTTTGAATGAAATAGTTTATAATGAACTTCTCTAAAATGAAACTTATTTGTCGCGTGCCCAATAACTCCATTTCTATGAAGAAATGACTCAGATACGCAAGTGTTTCATCTTAAGAAGAAAAACTTGTTAGTACAAAACAAAAAGAATAGCCGATTGGCATAGATCATAAGTATCATATAAAATTTTCCAGAGTGCCAAGATAAACTATAAATCTCACTAAGTCAAAGGACTCGTTGAGTTACATTACATTCAAATTGAATGAACTGGAACCTTACCACTGCAACATAAATTACAAAAACAACCAGAGCACTCTTTATACCACAAATCACAAAACAGTAACAGCACTCTATGTACCGTAAGTTACAAGAAAACTAAAAGTGGAAATCATTTTTTGTTGATCTTCTTGAATTTTTCTCCCTCTGCATCATTATGACAGCATTACTACATTGTTTATGGAATTATTGGCAGGAATAATCTCTTTTTTTTCTTTCATCATCATCCCAATCTGATGCAGGCAGTTCCTTCATTTCCGAGTTCATTTCCACATCTCTTCTCTGGCAAGGATGATCTTCGGTGCTTAGTACCTTGTGCTATTGATCAGGTATTGTTGATTGTTTCTCCTAGCACAGGTTATTGTTCACCTTGTTAAATAGCATGCACCATGTTGTTGTAGTAATTATATAGTCTGGGTTTGGTATTATATTTATTTGGTCTGTGATTAAATTTTTCTCTAATTATGTGATTTTTTTGGTTGATTCTCCAGGATCCTTATTTTCGAATGACAAGGGATGTTGCTCCTCGCTTAGGTTATCATAAACCTGCACTGATCGAATCTTCTTTCTTTCCTGCTCTGCAGGTAACGCCATAATTCTTTTGTTTCATCATGTTAAATTTACCATTCAATAATTAATTTATAGAATCTTTTTAGAACACAAAGAAAAAATGATTATGAACATGGTTTATATATCACTTGCCAGAATACATGGGCTTCGGTTTAGACTTGTGAATGATGTTTTTGATTGCACAACTATATGTTAGAGTTGTCATGGTCATAGATGTTTTATTTATTTTTCTTGTACTCATTTATTTC